ACTTTGTTATTGTGGGGTATTTTGTTAAATTATGCTAATTCATTCCTATTACAATACAACTTCTGTTGTGTAATATTACGGCTCCCCGGTGATAATTTACGTGTTGGGTATTTTTTTATTTTTTGAAAAGTTGGGATATTTTTTATATATGGCAAAAGTTGGGCATTTTTTTATTCTCCCATATTTTTATCCTAATGTTAAGAATTTAGATTTTCCTAAATATATATAGTTAAATCTAAATACATGCATAATTACTGGCTACCTAGCCCGTACCGTATTCTTGTTTTGATCGTCGTCACATCATGCACATCTCCTGTGACACACACACCCCTGTCATTAGGGTTCGTGTAACTCCGTTACACAATTTGTGCACTCACCCGCGTGAGATGGTCCTTTGTCTTACCTGTCTTACCTAGATGCGTCTGTGAGCACATTACTTCTCAATAAGCTATAAGCACTAGTAGATTTACCGATGCGTAAAGAGGATCAGTGATCGTTACCCTTACGCCGAATTAGCGACTGATCCTTATATACTTTCTGTCGCAATGATTTTTTTCATACCAGCGCCTCAACCAGTGTCTATCGAGTCAATTCATATTTTCGATGCAGATATGTAGATGGTTGAATTTGCTGGTTGAGATATTACAAGAACAAAAACATACGTAAATAGAAATACGATCAATTTGCGTCTTACGAGATGCTTGCTTTTATTTTAAACACGCGTAAATAACTTGTCATTTCGACGAGTCGCACACATTCCTCTTCCTTCCGTAATCAAAGGTTACTTACCATAGTAATGAAAGTAGTTTAGTAGGACGATGATTGCTCTATACATGATCGTTTCCAGTCGCCGCAACATAATGAATGCTGCTATTAATACTGTGCTTAACATCCGAGACCACATTAATTTAATCTACACTGAGGAAATCTATAAGTTTGTGACAAGACGAGGAGAATTGCGGTGCCAGCGAGCGTCACAATTCCAGTTTTTATACTCAATTTTAAATTTTCTTTTTGGCTGGCTCGTTATATCTGATTCGGGTGTACTGTAAGAAGCTTTCTAGGTTATTAATTAAGACAAAATTCAATAACTAATTTTATTAGAGCATCACAGTCAATAACAATTAGGCAATATAGATTCAAGATGAATTCCTTAGATTTATTTAATGTTACAACGTTTGCAAGCCAGTAATCTTATTACTAAGAAAGAATATAGATAAGTACTCGAACCAATACACGAAACATCGTTTTATATTCATCATTAAAGAAATTGCACCAGACAACTCAGTTGGCAATTGACAAAGATGCCTCCGTTTTGTTTTCTGCTTCTAACCGCCTCCATCGCCGCAGTCTGTAGCGGTTTTCTATCAGACCAAGGCGAAAAACAATCGACAGTCTCGGTATCATCTTCGTCACCTAATCAAAATCGGCTACCTAAACATGACATTGACACTCTACACCAGAGGAAGCAATTGCGCGTACAGTTCGTCCCCGCCACAGAAGACCGAGACGACCGTGAAAGTCGGAGCACTATTTCAGGCACAGTTTTGAAAGAAATCACTAAATCTGGTTTGGATGCAATGCTAAAGGACGTTGACACGCGAGCTGCTAATTTTGCGGTCTGGCAGCAGGCGGGGAAGCAATTTATTGACATTTCGAATCATCTAAAGGAGAACTTTTCAGAGGATGAGAAATATCTGGAAATCGCGCAATTCTACTTATGGTGCGTAGAAAACCCGTCGTCTAGCAATCTTTCTAGCGAAGAACTGAGGAAAAAGATCTTGGCAAAGATTACTGAGCAAACCCAGCCAATTCCTGCTGCTCGTAGAAGCCGTTATCTTCTGTACACACTGAGTCTGCTTGTGCTTTTGTGGCTGGTTATGAAATAAGTTACTCACGTATGCATCTCAATACAACAAAAATAAATTTTCGGTTGTCGATCAGTGCCAATTTTTCGTATCACTTTCCATTCTTTCGCTATGTTCGCTTATACACATTCCCAAACAAAAGATTGTTATATGAACATTCAGTTAGTTCGAAGCATACCCCATTACTACCTCAGACAAGAGCAATAACCGGCAATCTATCATTTTGCTTATAGCATCGGGCGCGGGCGCCAGCAATCAAGCAGTTTCAGAAAATCGACCGAGGCGGATTGCACACCATGACAAGTTAGTGAGGCAGTTCACGGTCGTCTTTGCCGTCTGATCTCGTGCTTTAGCTTGAAGCACATTTTGTACAATGTAATTACGACCCAATACCACGGTCTTTGTGGATTATAAAGCGAACGACTGGCATGGTTCAAGATTTAAAGGATGTCGATTAGCGCTCATGTCTAATATACAGTTGTTCCAACTTGCACAAGTGACAGTGCTTTTAATTAAAATTTTATGCGAGCACCTGCGAAGTGTGACCTGTCATCTGCGAGTCAAGGGAAAAAGTATCTATAGTCAAAGTGTTTGCTCCAGCTGCAGATGTTACGGTCACCCATTCTGCTGGCATTCGATTCAAGTAGTCTCAAATCGAGAGCTATTGGCGGCATTAAGATTTCTTATTCTCTTTACTGTAATTGCGTTAGGGGTACCAATATATCGTTAATTCTGAAAAAAGAGGGTATTAACTTAATCCTCAGTAGCCATAGAATTAAAATCTGCAAAAGCTGGTTACTCGAGTATGATCCCAGTCTTCTCAGAATATATGGGGCTACTATCATGTGGATGTTGCGCATCGATTTATAATTAGAAAGGACATCTGACTCTGAGTACAAAACAATACCGGCGGTGATTCTGCTCAATCTGAAAGTCGCTTTCGCAGGTTAAGAAGGACCGATTCAACGGGCAACCACAGTATGGAGTACCGTGCTCGGTCTCGTTGCTGATGGCTGGGATGCAGCCACTAATATCATGATTAGAACACAGAGCTTGACCAGATTTAAAATTTTGAGTATCGCATCGACAGTTGTAAATGTCCATTCAAACCACGTTTGAGAATAATTATATTCTCAAATTTGCATCTAAGCCGAGGTGAGGCTTATTAGAGCATGCGGAAAATGGAGACTTCAAAGTTACCTAGCAAAAAATCTCTGTAGAGCCAGTACAAACATTAAGTAATTCTCTTTGGCATCACAATGTTGCACTAAAAATATACGTAAAGTGACTATCAAAAAAATATCTCAACAGATAAATGAAATTCGAACTCTGCGATTTACTGTCTTCTTAAGCGCAACAGGTCGTTAAGGCAATCCAATCTTTACAATATCACTTGTACAATGTACACGCTGAGTCCGAACCAGTGGTGCTGTGCTGTATCTCAGCAGCCATCGGTCCACTGCTACTTTGAAAGGCTCAAAGATTTGTCTTAAGCGTTGAAAGTTTTGATTTGCGCCACCACCTTCAGATTAGTGGTACTCGTGTACCAGAAGTGGGAAAATCACAGTTTGGGAGAAATATAATCTTATCTTTATTTGTAAAAAGTAGAATACAACTTCAAAACTGTAATGAT